AAAAAAAAAAAAAAACAAAAAAAAAAACAGGCTCATAGCTCACCACATCCAGGAAGAAGCATCGAAGCAAATGATAATAAAAGAAGCATAACTTACGAGAAAAACCGGCGGCACGCGAGTAGGGGCCATTTTCTTTATTGGACCGCCGGGGACGGGCTCGAACGCACGCTCGCCTGCGCTCCAGATCAGACATTTCGGTAGTGGATCGTCGGGCGATTCGTCGTATTTAAGACAAGTGTCGGTCGAGAGTCTCTGTATACGTCAGAGTTTCAATATTCGTTTTTTTTTTTCTTTTTTTTTTCAGGAATGGTGTCGTAGAGTGTGTCGCAGAGGATGGTCAGATGAGAAAATCAGATTCCAAATCTCTAGCCAGTTAACAATGGTTAACGCACGAACGCTACGAACGAGTGCTGTCGAGTGGAGGAAAGCAAAAGGGAGGGACTATAAATTGTAAAGGGTTGAACGACGAGAGAAGGGAGTGATTAAAGTGAATAATTTGTGAGGTAAACTGTGACGCGGCGATTAGAAGTAAGATTAGAAGATCAGCGTTCGATGAGAAAGATCGATTACGTGTACGTTGGGGTACACGGAGGACGCAAGGGATGAATAGTAGAGAATAGTAGAGATTAGAGCGAGTCAAAGTGTAACCGATGAATCAAACGAATCCGATCGATTGTAAGTAGCGACGATTGGATGACCGTTGATCGTCGTTGGTTAAACCGACGACAGTGTTTGTTCTTTTTTTTTTCTTTCTTTCTTTCTCTCTCTCTTTTTTTTTTTTTTTTTTTTTTGTTTTTACGGCGAGCACAAGTCAGCGTGTCGAGATGGAAGAAAATTATAGTAGGTCCGAGAGGCGTAGGAGGCGGACTCAGTTCGAAGGGGGATGGGCCGCAATTCGAAGCAGCAGATGTATCCCTAACACAGTGTGACTATATGTGGCCATCCTGGAGAAGAGGATACTGGTGGACTCTCTACTAGATCGGGCCGTTGGACAACGATGACTTCAGCCAGTTGGTCCAAAAATATTGCTTTAGGGATCGTACCTTGCCGTTCTCGGTATCAACGGACGTTGACGCGCGGGCCAGGCTGTAGGAACGGCGTGCAGGAGCGGGCGGTCGTCGAGGAGGAGTCGTCCCCGGGGATGGGGACGTGCCGAGGTTGTTAGACTCCAGCGAGTCTCGGGCGCGGGACAGCGAGGAGGATTTGTTTAAGGAGTCTCGGCTGGAATTGTTACGAGGCAGGGACCTGTTCAGGGACTCCCTGCTGTTCGTCTCCTTGCTGTTTCCGTTCCCGTTACTGTTCCCACTGCCTGCGCCGTTGCTGCCGCTGCCGTTGCTATTGCTACTCTTCGTCAGGCTTTTGTTCCCGAGAGAGTCCCGATTCGAGTCACGAGCCTTCGACAGAGACTTGCCGCAGTGACTGTCGCGACTAGAATCACGCGGAGGCCTTGTCAACGACTTTAACGATTCCCTGCTGTCGTTCCTTCCGTGGCTAGGTGGTCTGGGCGCTGTTGCTTTCGTCGTGGCACCGGGCAAAGGTATACGACTAGGACGCCGTCGAGGCGACGGTTTTACCTCGACCGGTTGATGATGATCGCGAGCCGACTCTGTGCTACTCCCTGGCTCCAGACCGTTCTGCTCGCATCTCGGCTGATCCCCGTCCGCCTCCGGGTCTGCTTCCGTCGGCGGCCGTTGCTGAAGTCTTTCCAACACGCGCACGCGCGCCCGTGTACCCTCCAACTCGATGTTTCTCTCCTCCAGCTGCGAACCGTCGCGTCAATTTCCGTCAGAATTTCGACCAACACGTTTCTACTGATTATTGTTTATATATCATTAGGCAATTCACATTACCTGGAAACGTAGGTCGTCGTTCTCCTCCCGTGCCTTGTCCAACCGCTCGGACAGAGTTTCCGTGCTTTTCTGCACCTCGTCTAACCTCTTCTGTAGAACCTACAAAGTGACAATTTTCATTTTGACGATTTTCATTCGGACGAATCGCAGGAAATATTACGGGTGCCCATAAGTAATCAATCATTTGGCAAGAATTTTTTTGCATTTAATTCTGATTATCGATCTGCATTGAAGAGGGAACGCGTATTCTTCCAGGAGCCTGTTTCCTAAGACATTTGTACCTCCCGAGAATCATATTCGTCGTTGCATACCTTTTCATTTTCATGCGAGATTTAATGCAACGGTAACAACAAAGAAAATTCGCGATATTTATGGAAATGTATTGAAGGTCAATAATTGTCAACGTCGGTTCAGAAACTTGGTGATCTCTCTGACAGGCCTCGAAGTGGACGACCAGGTCAACAAAGTCACGTGGTCACATGGTCAACAAAGGCACGAAATTGGAAAAATACATAGGCAAGGAATATGAGTTCCGCGTCAATTATCTGAGGCAAACAAGGATCTTCGACGAACAATTTGCACTTTATTGCTATCCAGATTTTTAGCAGAAAAATGGATCCTTTGGAAGCAATGGCTCTCTTCAAATCAAACACCAGTACCAACCCCTAAACCAAACTTATCGCTGAGAAAGTTACTGTGTATTTGGTGAGATAAATCCACTTCGAGTTGCTGAAACCTGTAGAAACTGTAGTTGCTACTTATATTGTCAACAATTACAACGACTGCATTCAGAACTGTTGGAAAAGAGGGCATCTTTAGTCCACAGAGAAGGTGCAATAATGCAACGTGCCCGGCCCCATGCAGCGAAACTCACTCAGGAAAAAAATCAAAGAATTGCAATGGGAAGTTTTACCGCACAGATACTGCTCCGTCTGACTGTCATTTGTTCAGATCTTTGGAGCATTCTTCAAGAAATGAAACATTCATTTCTGTAGAAAATCTAAGGAGGCACGATTTACTTCACGGGCCCTAGATTTCTATAAGAAGAGGATTGAAAATTTGCTGGAAAGATGGCAAACTATCGTTGATAATGACGGAGATTACTTGATTTTACTACAAAATTTGTTATAGATGTCAAAGTAATTGATTAGTTATGAATATCCCTATTAGAAAAGTATTCTTGTTTTTTTTCATCATTCACCTGATTATGGACGGTAGTAGTGATTAAATGCCGCTGCAGCTCGAGAGGCGAGTGTTCCCGTAGGATGGCAGCGATCTTCTTCGAGTCAACGTTCCTAACGTGCGCGACTCTGGTAGGTGACACAAGGACGGAATCCAGCGCACCGAGCCGCGCTCTCCTCTCGTTCACGCTCGCCTCGACGTCGATGTCGCGCAGCTCGTCGTTGTGAGCGGTCACGTGTAACAGAACGTTCTTCTCTATGGTCCTCGTCCGGAAGCGGCTCTTGTGAGCCTTGTTCGACGTCGCGACTGACGCGAACGCCGAGGACTTGCTCTTGATACTGCCAAGGTTGTTGTTGCTCTTCGGCGACGAGACGAGAGGCAACGCGGTCGCGATCGGCTGCAGCCTCTGCGCGCCAGGCACGAGGATGTTGTCCGTCGCAGAGGTTTCGCTCAGTCCAGCACGCAGCCGATCCTCCAGGCCGGTTTTCAACGCTGACAGCGCTGCCAACTCCGACTGAAGCTCCTGCGCCCTGGCCCGGCTGGATATCGTCTCGGCCTCGAGTTCCGCTACCTTGTCCAACAGTTGCTCCTTCTCTCGCCTCAGCGCTATCACTTGAGAATCGTTGTCCTTGTCATCCTCTTTGTCCTCCTCGCTTCTCGCTCCTATCGTCGTCGTCGTGGTCTTCTCACCGTCCAGGCACGCGACCTCCCTCACGGCGTCCAAGATGTCGGTGGACGCGAGGTCCTCGGACGCTACGCTTTCCAACCGACCTTGCAGACATTCCACCTCCTCCCTGAGTCGGATCCCCTTGCGATGGATTACGTCCAGAAGGTTCCACAGCTCGTCCTCCGCCTCGTCGAGGACGGCGGCAGGCCGAGGACTGCTCGGCCTCGGCGCTATAGCCGTCGAGGCGCTGTCCTTGGAAGATGTCTCGGTGCTGAAGCCAGAGTCCTGCACCGTGCCGCTGCAGTTGTTCTTCGTGCCACCGCTGTGCGAGTTGCTGCGGCTCCTTGGCAACGACGACGACGACGACGACTCGCCGCCACCACCTTCGCGCGGCACTCGCCGCCTGATCTTGCCAGGCTCCCATTCGTTGATCCTTCGGGACGATGGGCTGGACAATGGTAAAGGGATGTGAGAGTTTTGGGTACAGGACGAGGACATCACGGACGCTCCGGCGGACGACGTCGCGGCCATCTTGTGCCGGAGGTTTGGGAACGTCTCGATGACGAGGTCCCGGAACTCGAGAAGGGCGCCGACCTCATTCTGCAGCTCCTGCAGCGCGATCAACGATTTCGCCTGCTCGCTTATCAGGTAGTGAAACGGGCCTGGACGCAGGGGCATGCAATCCATGCCACCGCCGCTGCTGCTGTTTCCGCCGCTGCCGCTCCCACTCACGCTCCCGACGACGCCTTCCGTCGAGCCTCCGCCGCTGCCACACTGAACAAACAAACATCCAAAGCTCAAACCTCATACATATTGACCTAAACGCAACAAGCGAGAA